GTTCCTGACTCTAACGACCAATCAACTACCGTAGTTTTAGGCTGGACAGACTCAGAGTCTCAAGAGACTTTTTTCTATTTTGAAATAAAAATGTTTTGCAATTTTTATTTTACCAGCTCAGGGCTCACGGAGCTATGGAACTCCTCTTCAGAGGGGACCTGGCTACAAATGATAGCTCGACGAAGTGGCTTATCACGTGGACATTTAAAGCAGCCAAATAATCTAAATGCATGTTGATTGTAAACGTGGAACAAAAAAACCAGAGGACCCGGAGAAAAATCCACGCGACCACGGGGAGAACACACACACTCCAAATATACAGCAGGCGTCAGGTTCGGGATCGAACCCACGACCTCCTGTATACCAGGCGAGGTAGTTAACATCTCGCCACCGCGGTGACGCCCCAACCTTATTCTTTCGACGGCACACAACTTCCACCTTGCTCCACCACCGCTTGCCCAAACTGCGCACGCGATCGCGCGAGTTGAGAGGCCCGGGGGTGGGCTCCAACGGCCGCTTGCTGCCCTACCGGCTGAGGTGTGGACTCGAGTCATGTGACTTGGACTCGAGTCAGACTCGAGTCATGAATTTGATGACTTCAGACTCGACTTGGACTTGCATAACAATGACTTTGTCCCACCTCTGAGGTGTGGACTCGAGTCATGTGACTTGGACTCGAGTCAGACTCGAGTCATGAATTTGATGACTTCAGACTCGACTTGGACTTGCATAACAATGACTTTGTCCCACCTCTGAGGTGTGGACTCGAGTCATGTGACTTGGACTCGAGTCAGACTCGAGTCATGAATTTGATGACTTCAGACTCGACTTGGACTTGCATAACAATGACTTTGTCCCACCTCTGAGGTGTGGACTCGAGTCATGTGACTTGGACTCGAGTCAGACTCGAGTCATTAATTTGATGACTTCAGACTCGACTTGGACTTGCATAACAATGACTTTGTCCCACCTCTGAGGTGTGGACTCGAGTCATGTGACTTGGACTCGAGTCAGACTCGAGTCATGAATTTGATGACTTCAGACTCGACTTGGACTTGCATAACAATGACTTTGTCACACCTCTGAGGTGTGGACTCGAGTCATGTGACTTGGACTCGAGTCAGACTCGAGTCATGAATTTGATGACTTCAGACTCGACTTGGACTTGCATAACAATGACTTTGTCCCACCTCTGAGGTGTGGACTCGAGTCATGTGACTTGGACTCGAGTCAGACTCGAGTCATGAATTTGATGACTTCAGACTCGACTTGGACTTGCATAACAATGACTTTGTCCCACCTCTGAGGTGTGGACTCGAGTCATGTGACTTGGACTCGAGTCAGACTCGAGTCATGAATTTGATGACTTCAGACTCGACTTGGACTTGCATAACAATGACTTTGTCCCACCTCTGCCTACCGGGCATCCATAACCAATTGGATTTGAAGTCCTAACCTTGCTGTCCACGCACGCCAAAACTTCCTCTGATGGTGGTGGTGGTGGTGCTCCATGGCCTGCCCCGCCTTCGCCCTCCACCTTGCCGGGAATTTCACTGCAAAACCGAAAGCTCGCATCTTCAACCTTTCCGTCCTGGATGGATCCATCCCTTCCTGAACGGAAAACCTCTCGTGCCGAACCATTACCATTACCGCCCGATCTAAATCCTCTCATAACGATCTTTGAGAAGATCACACATTTTCATCTCAGAACATGCCCTCTTCCATCCTAAACCGTCTGGCTTCCGAGACAACTACAGCACAGCCTCTGCGGGACTCTCTCGTCTTGACTTGTATCTCCAACAGTCTCGAGTCTCGTCGTTATTGCGCCATCCCATTCCTTCGACACTGTGGATCCCGCCGTGACCTTGTTTCTGTTCTTGAGAGAGTGTGGACGTACGCATAGGTGGACTATCCCTGCCATGCCGCATGTGCCTTGAACAGGGGAGTATTCTGCCCCCATACGCATCAAGGGCTGCATGTAACCGTGTGTTGCGCTGCTTTCGGCACCGCACGGAGCCAACCGTGCCAATCCGGAGGGGCATCACCCCCGAGGTGGGGTGGGTGTTCACTGGCCGTCCAACTCTCGTCCTGGCTACGGGAGTCTCGTCGCTGTTGGTGCCGAGGCATTCCTGCCGACATCGCCGATACCGACCGGGCTGGACAGCTGCTGACCAGCGGGAGCTGCCTCACAGCAATTTGAGGAGTGACGTTTCCCTCGTGTGACTACGTTTCAATTTCCATACTTGTGGGTCTCCTGTCCAACACATCGGTGGGCTGAAGTGATCACGAATTGTCACGTTCTGTTTACGCGACAAGCCTCACTAATTGGCCATGTCGAGTATTGGTGGGTTTTAACGACGCATTTATATTTACGTGATCTAACCAAAAAAACCCTTTGATATCGGTCGTGAAAGCCCACTGCGTGTTCAACTCACTCACTATTGGTGTAATTTTCCCAATATCCCCCATGTAGCAGGACCTTCCTGCAAGTCTTTGAGACTCCGTGGGGCCTTCCCGAGTAATTGTCACGGACTTGTACCGACACCCTCGAAAGTCTGGTGGCTGTGCCTTTTCAACGTTTCATTCTCACTCGCCAAGTTGAAACCGGCGTCAGACAGCGAACGGCACGGTCCGTGGCAATGTTTTGAGAGTTGCATCCCAAGCCGTCGGAACTCGTTAATCCAATGGCAAACGGACATCATTAAAGACGAGTTTCTGCTCGCTTCTCAGGCCAATTGCACACTCCGATAAGCACGGTTGGCAACGTAGGGTGCGAATGACGTTCACATACAGTAAGAACAAACCAACAGCGTTGCTGAACAATGGAAATGTAATCTACAGCCCTTTGCCAATCCACCGCGAGACGAAGGCCTCTTCTCGTTGGGGTTGATTGAACATCCACGACTTCACCACGCTGCTCCCTGCGGGTTCGTGAAGGAGCCCAGGATCGGTTATGATATCACTCGCCACCGATGTGAGCCGTGGCCGGGAATCGGACAGAGGTCGCCGGTGTGAACACGTGTTCAGTTTATCCTTCCCCTGCACCTCAGATAAGCACGTTCGGCTACGTACGGTGCGAAAGACGTTAAAAACTTACATGGCAAAGGTGCCATGGGCCTTAATAAATGGTTCTGATCTTTAAGATCACGAGGGCAACTTTATTTGGCGAGTCCATCTCATAGATGTTTCAAACTTTTATGTGTAGGTAGTTCTTAGATACCAGTGGAAGCCAACAAATACCAGTGGAAGCCAAGTGGTCATCCAAGTCCCCACCATGAGAATGTGGAATTTTCATCGAGGGTTAAAATCCTCCAATGGAGATGACCAATGACCCGATACTTAAGAGAAATAATGGACGTCGGCGGTGATGTACAATTTGTCTACTCTTTGCGACCCATCCCACAGGGTCGTTAGCGTCCACAATAATAGCAGACTGCAGCATTTATGTTGCAATTTCCTTCAGGAACTACCAAGCAAACGTTACAAGAACGAACCCGTCAAGGATGTACAAAAATGGTTAATCGGAAAGTGTGCAAAGCAGTAGGCTAACCGGTTCAACAGGTGGCAATGGGTTTGTATTGCAATGCGTCAGTGGCTCACGCAAGACGCACGTCTTGAGGTCCCATTAACGACGTCTCGAAGCGAGCTGCGTCTCACTCGCTGCTCACACGTGAATGCGTCCTCACATTTGTCTTTACTCACCACGGCATCAGTCCGGATTGTAAGCACCCTGCCACGGTCCCAAGCACAATGCGACTTTGCTCGTTCTATACATCCAAACCAGCTCAAGACTCACGTAAACCACGTGGTTTGCATGTGGCCACCCCTCCTCAGAATACCTCACCCCGCCCACTGTGAAAACAGACGCTGCTCCGTGCAGCAGCAGAGGTCCTCATGTATCCTCTTCCTCCCGATCTATCCTAACCAATTGCTCCCGTTTTTCCTTTCCTTGTTCTGTTGTCATTCCCTCTTCCCTTTCCCCACACAATATCCTTGCCTATTACCACCGCCCTTCCCATGGTGTATGTACGCCGAACTTCTTTCGCTCAGTACGTACCCAACCGTATTAATTGGAGGTGTACTGCGGGTAAATAGCTGCGAGTAATAAGACGAGGTCAATCCCAAGTCAGGGTCCTTAAAGTCTGCAATCACAAGTATCCAAAACAACCACCACCATCGCAGGTACTAGCGTGTTGATGACATTGAGTACACTTGTGGGAGGTCAACAGTGGTTGTTCGTTGGAGATACAGTCCACTGCCATAGCAATGTGGAATTGACATTTGTTTAAAACATTCTCATTGCTTACTGAACGTGATTCGCAAAACTCTGCACCCAGAGAAGCTGCTTTCTTTGGGAGAGTGCACATGGCCTATCTCACAAGGTTAGGGTGCAACCAAGGACATGGTGATACTATAAATAAGCTGTTGCTACTCACAAAAATGTCAACATTTATGACTGCCCCGTATTTATTTATATTGCTCATCCAAGTTGTATGTATGTAGAACTTCTTGTGCACCGTACGGAGCCAACCGTGCTAATCGGAGGTGGAAAGTGTCCAGTGGACCTCCAGTTGCTGCATCTTTCGCCACAATCTGGTGAGCATAAGTTTGCAAAGAGAAGTAAACCACGAATGGGGGGTTAAAGCACACAATAAATTGTATTAGTGAGAAATATTGTAGAGGTTTTAATACAACCGTTTGTCCACATCATGAATGAACAAGTAAAAAAAAAGCATTCGACAGTCAAATCCACACGTGCTTGCTTTCACTGGGACAAGGCTTCCTCAAAGTGAATTCAAGTGTCCTAATCAATTACGAGATTACAAACGTATTACTTTTCCATTTTATTTTCTCTTCATTCTTTTTCAAGACTTCAAATAAAATGGCAGCTCCCCCCCCAAAAAAAAATAGATTGGCGCAGAAATAGAATTGCACGCAAAAAGATGGCAAGCTTGTGGAGAAAACCGGGACGGAAGGCGAGATGGCACGGACGCAAGGGATAAACGGAACGGTAGAGAACACACAATGTTTATTAGGAGGGAAAAAAAACTGGTCAAAATGTACATTAAAGGCAAAACATTTTCAGAAGTAAAAACTGCACCACAGAAAATTTTACAAAAAAATCTAACCTTCAACTCCTTGGGCCATTTCAAAGTTTTCGCACGATTAACATCGGTTAGCATCCTTTTATCATACGCAGGCATCTCGTTAAAATTACGCGCGGAGAATGTACGCAGATCTGGTGCCCTGGTGACCATCAAGATGGGAACGCCGCACAGAGCGCTGTGTGACATCTGTTCGTACTCACAAAAAGGTTAGATTTTCCTTTTTTGTTACCCCCTGTATTACTCTCCGTTGGTATTTTAATTCTCTTAACAGTCTGGGAGACGTGTTATCACTTTGCTCGATGCAATATACAATAGCAATGGCTTGATTTTCTACACTAGGCAGGATATGAAATGGGCAGGTAGAACATCCCTGGAAGCCTTTTGGGTTTTCTCAACAGCGAAAACCCAGCTGAAATTCGCCGCAGCAAATGCGGAAACTGAGCGTTTAAAACAAAACGACTACACACTTGCCTATAATAAAACTGGCAAGGTTGCTTTATTTGTTGCTCCAAAAGCTAGTGGTACACAAGCATGTTGGGTCTGTTGCAGGTTTGGGCTTCCGCGGATTTCTAACGGCCCCAATTATGATGAGACAAGCACCAATGTAAAATACTGTGCATGATAAACAAACGTGGGGCGCGGTGATGCCATTTAAACCCAGGCTGCACCGAAGCCCGGGAAATATCGACCGTAGCAAAACAACAGCGATGAGTGACAGACCACAGAGCTCAGAATAAAATTGCCGATGGTTGTACGCATTTTTCTTTTAAAATAGAAAATACATATTTTTTTTCTCTCTTAGTTAAAATATGTTACTACACTGACTTGTTTTCCGCGACAAAAAGACAATTTTTTTGCTTTGCCACTTGCTGGTGATTTTATTGCACCAATAGTTTATTTCCCCGTATCGTGCTTTATTTGTTTTACTTCGTTTTCGTCTAGCTCGTTCGGCCAAACACACTGCTGCCTATTGAACCTGTGCGTCACACCATTTACAAAACCAACAAAAAAATTGAACACAAATTTGTAACATAAACATTGTCCTAAACAAATAAAATGTAAAAACAATGTCACTTTTTAAAATATTAATTGCAAGTTGAGATGGCCGGATGGCTCAAAAGGTCTGATGCTAAAGCTGTGTGGGGGAGCATTGAGCCAGCACCGCTGAGAACCTGGGTTCAAATCCCTGGCTCTCACCTGAGATTAAACCAAATTCTCAAGTGCAGTAAGTTTGATGGTTTCAACCCGATCACCGATGACTGCACAAGAGGAAAACCATTTGGTTTTTGTCATCGACTCGGTCATGCCCAACTAAATAACATTGCTGGCATAAAGTGAACTGCTCGCATAACTGCACTGATGTAGTACAGACTACATACTGTGGCAAGAGAGACCTTGTGAGAGTGCCAGGCTAAGGAGGCCTGTAGTAATGCCGCTTCTGGGTCGATTCCCAGCGCAGTGTGGAGTTACACCAAGACTGCAGGCCCTCCCAGAGCACAACAAGCTTGTGCCTGGAGAACCTACAGAAACAACTGGGAATAACAATAACAAAATATTGAAAAAACAAAAGTGTTGGGGGAAAAAAATCCTTCGAAAAAAATACGTACAAAACATTTAGTTTTAAACGGTTGTACGGATAACATGTGACTGAGGGCGAGACAGCGCCGTGATGGTTTAAACGTGGTCGGTTGTGAGTGGCGATCGCAGGGCACTTTCTAGACAATCCTGGGGTCCGTGGCCCGCCAACAGACCCCAGGGCAGCGCCGGTGACACAGCAGCGCGATCGCCCACACACCCGCGGCCACAGTTGGGAGATGAACCAAATCTAGCAGCGGAGCCACGATGCAGCAAGGGTGATGGAGCGTACACGAGTTGTCGATGGGAAACGTTGATCGTCGTCTTCACGTCTCTTGTAAATTGATTCTCTGGAATTAATTTGCCATTGGAACGGAAATGCATGGGACAGCCTACACACATCTGATGGTGAACACCAATAATTAATCTAATGAGTGCCTAGGTCAACGCCTCTGAGATTATACAATGAACTGTAAAAGTTATAGCAGCACAGAGAGACTAAATAATCTTATGCTGATAAATAAAGAGTTGATACGAGTAATAAAGCTCATAGCTCAAACCATAGTTATGAATTTACTTATTCCATCATTCCTCCGAGACTAGGACACATTACACTGAGAAGTGAAGTGAACAGAGGCTTTCCGATGTACCAACCACCCTTTGCTTTAGGAATGTGGAATTTCCAACACTGGCTCAGCTCAGCCTAAATGATAAACAAAATTTCAGATTCGCATTAGCATACAAACTTATTACAGTAAAATGACAAATTCACAGTCACTTTTGTTTATCAGGGAACAAGGCATTCACTCAAAAGATGGAAACTCTCACATCAAACTGAAGCAATCGGTAGTTGTTCAAGTGGAAATCCCTATTTTTACTCTCCGGAGCACGTTCTTGCGCAGAGACATGACACCCATTTTGTGAATGAGGCAGGGCAGTGTGTAATCTATGCAGCGTTCAACTTTAGATTTTTCGCCTCTACATTAAACAAATAATCTGTGATGTCTTTGTTTACCTCCGCTCATATTACTTGCGTTATGAAACAGCGACTCTGAACTCCAACTAATACATTTTTACTGCAAGTGAGATTTAAAAAATTACCGGCCAAGAGTAAATGCTGCTGGTCAGAAATCAAGAGGAAGCCCTCCTGCCAATGAAATAGGAGAATTCCCAACTTTCCTGAACACCAATATCTGTTTTAGGATCTGAAATCTAAACACGCATCTCCAAAGTGAACGACATCCACAGTGGCAAAACGAGTCAGGGAATCGATTCTGAAATACGTGGAGACGACGATCGCCTCCGATGCGCTGCGCATACCTCCACCCCGTCACTCCTACGCACCGTGACAAAACATTGGTGGGGGGGGGGGGGGGGAATAACCACAAGGCGTTGAGAATAATGAAGCACCGCCACCACATCCCCGGGCGAGGGGGGGCGGCGGCGGTGTGCACCGTTATCCGCTCCGGGTAGCACGCAACACGAACGAAATAAAAACGACCACGACGACTGCGAAAAGAACGGGATAATATCTGTACACTATTCCCAACCCCAATACCCGAGCCCTCCGCTCCGAGCGCCCAACCCGCGCACTGCCAAACCCACCCCGACTCCAGCCCCACACCCCTCTTCCTCCGCCACGACTCGCACAGCCTCAATGACGAACCACGCTCCACACCCCCGACGACACCGAACCGAACCCCCCAGGCGCAGCCAGTCACAGAATCGGCCAGTATATTGTCGGACATGATTCTAGCTGGTTATGGGTTCTCTTGTTACTAAATCTCAACCTTTTGCTTATTTTTTTTTGTCCTTTAGTTTATAGGTTTTTTTCTTCAAACATTCAGGAATGCTCTTCAATTAAAGGCTGGGTTACAAGTAACGACTGGAGAGAAACAAAATCACCTTCAACATTTTTAACATTAATCTCCAGATCAAGAAACAAGTGGCAAAATATCCTGTACATTTGCGACAGGGGGTGCTTGATAACGCAGGGAAAAGAAAAATATAAAAAAACTCGCGCACGCACGTGTCCTCGTCACTACCGTGTCACGTCAGCTGAGCAAGGGTTATGCACAATGCACGACAGTTCAATAACGCTCAGCGGGATGACACGCGGATGCTCGAGTGAGGACGGAACCCAAACAATCCCCGACATGAACACGTCACTGCCCACAAGTGTCTCGTCCCACAAAGGCAATGACGATGATGATGTCTCAAAGAGGGGGGAAAATACCAAACAAGCTCTCTCTGCCTGAAGGCAGTGTATGATTTTCGTCGCTTCCTCGGTTACAAAAAAAGCGCTTCAGTTAACACAAGTGCATCTTTTTTTTTAAAGCGGGTAAATATCGCAGATAATCACGCCCTACGAGGTGTACACACGCACACGGATATATACACGGAACGTGCACCTGTCTGCCGGAGGGCGCTCACTCAAGTTTTGGGAACGAGGGGGTCAGCACTCTAAGTGTATGTCCAAGATCAACAACTTTCACTTAACTTTTTTCCTACTGACTAGCCCCACCCTCCCCCACCGCTAGCTATCGACAACTATCGTGGTTCAACGGAAAGGCATCTAAAGAGGCGACAGCCTATTGAGGTACGTGACGTTCTTCAAGGGAAGGACGACGATTAAAGACGAGGCTCTAAAATAAGCCCGACATGAGAAACGTGTTCTGCACATCTCATTTGCCAAAACGTTGATGACCGCCCTTTGCATACACTGTACACACGCACACCACCGGTAAATTTGAAACGGGCTCGTTTTAAGCAGCTCTTAATGCTTAAGTCAACACGTGTGACTAATGGGTGATCGTTATTGCAAGAGGTTTTTTTTCTCCATTGTAAACCAGTTTTTATCAAATATCAACTGAAAAAAGTGCCAATCTATGCTTGTGTGTGCATATGTAAAGCACCGTATATATATCTACATTATACACGCACATTGTGTACGCATAAAGTACACGCACACAGTGTGCGTGTATATAGTTGTGCGCAATACATGTAGCCTGCGTTCAAAGCAAACACAGGCGCACACACACATGTACACCGTATACACACATATATACACACACAATATAGACATTAGTTTTATCACACATCATTTTTACAGTAGGGCACATAGGTATTTCATATATTCAATATTTTAATTAAATCACTATATATTTTTTGAATGGGCAGAAAGAAAAATGACACAAAGCGCATTGATGTTAGTATAGCTATTAGGCATGTAACGACTCATAGATTTAAATCGGCTATCGGACTCGCGACGCGCAACGAATTGTCGCCGCGGCGATTATTTACAACGCAAATTATATCCTGTAACACGCAACGGTACCGAAACAAATGAGACGGAACAAAACACCATGGAGGTGAAAATGAGACGGTGCACCACTCTCGAATCCAAATGGCGTCCCTTGAATCGTGACAAATTGGCGAATTGATGGTGGAGCTGTAGATCGTTACATGCCTAACAAGTACAGAACAGCACAAGGACTCTCTCAGGAGAGCCCATGGCAAGCACCACAGCCTGAGGCATCCTCCGAGTCTTAAATACGCATAGCATTTGATAATTAGGTTCAACGGAACCCTTGCATACAAATTCTACATCTCTTATCTATAGTTCAACAAATGTATAAAACATAATTTCATACATTACTATCATCGTCATCAACAGTACTTTTAAAAAAGGTGACCATTGTGGTTTTCTCAAATAAAAATAACGTTCTCGGCCTCCAACGCTTGCGACGAATGCCCACCAAAGTCAGTGCTTTAAAAGCGAAGATATTTTTCCCCCTTAAAAATGAGCCGTTTGTGAAAAAGCCACAATTTGGAGGGCGGTCCTGTGCACCGGTGAGGAGACCTAAAGGGGTCCCCCCCGCCCCACACTCCCCGCATGCTAGCTATGCTCATTCACGACCGAGATGCCCGTGGGTGACAGTGGCGCCTGGAAATGCCGAGACACTGTAGCTTCACCAACGTGTGAGCGATGGGTGGGAAGGTATGGGGCGAGCAGTCTCGGCCAAAAGTTGCATGGAAGAAAACCCGTTAACCATGGAGTTCCGCAATAGTCCTTTAATTTCTGGTCACCACCTGCCAAGATCCAGCTTACGGGGATGTCAGAATCTGGACAGATATGATTGTGGCATGTCGAGATTCAGATATAGAATGTTGAGATCTGGCTACAATATGGTTCGGATCTGGCCATGTAATTGGTAACATTCGAGATCCAGCTGGAGCATTTGCTGCATCTGGCCATGTGCTCACGCTCCAGCTGCTCCACGATGAGATCTGGCACTCGTAGAATCCAGCCATCGCATCGAGAAGCGACTAACACGTCAAGGTCTGAGACGATTGCATGTCGAAATCCAGTTCTGGGCACGTCAAGGTTCGGCTATGGGATGTAAAAGTTGCGCTGGGATTAAGGGGTTAGGCACAGTTGGTTCGTAGAAACAAGCATGAGGAACAGGTGGTAAGGACGCACGGCGACGGCAGAGCAACGGGAACGTCAAAGTACAACTCGACGCGCGATCGCCCAAATTGCGACGTGCACCCGTCAAGATCCTGGACAAGGTGGGTGGGACGGAACTTAAGTAGGCCATGGCCGGGAACTAGACGCGTAACCACTTTTCGTCACACTTCTGGCGTAAACTGCTCATCCACGGGCGGGACGCCACGCCGCTATAAAACTAGGCGAGGACCCCAACGACGGCGACGCTCTTCTACCGGGGGACGCTCTTTGCGAGTGACAAGACCGCCAAACAGTGCACTAAAAACAGCAGAGAGAGCTTGCGGGTATTTTTCAACGAGAGAGAAAAGGTAATCCTATCCAATAGCCTTCTATTTATTGTTTTAGTTTTTTTCTTAAAGTATTATTATTTATACTTACACACCGAATGTTCAAAGTTGATTCAAATAACGTTACATATTAACAGCATTGTTTAAAAACCATTCGGATCCCCGTTAAAACAAAACAAAAATAAACACCCCCTTTATAAAACCTCCCAATACTCCTGACGATATATATAGCATATCTCTTAGGGCTGCAAAGGCTTGAGTTAGTGAGATCTATGTACATTTCCAGAGAAAAAACAGGTTTATTTTCTGTTTCTTTGTTTTTAAAAAAAGGACAAAAATTCTACTTTTTACATTTTGGTTGTGGAGATATGGTTTGGGGTAAACGAAAATAATAATGAAAAACAACAACAACAATAGTAAAGGAGAGGATTTGGTCAACTCCGCGAATGCCAGCGCTGCTCATAAGTGCATTCATGACACATGGCAGTCCTTTCAGAGTGCCTGGGACGAACCCCCACACTCGAGTGCAGTTTGTGTCCATTAAATACATTAAATAATTCCACGAGTTTGCCTTGGCCTCTCCCGACCAAAAGAGCAGACACCTTGTTCGGCAATAGAAAGCATTGTCATAGCAAACCCGCAAGTCTAAGCGTGTAATTGTTATCGTCGTTAATGTTTAGCTTCTTTTTTAATAGACACGATCTCTGACCTAAGTTGGGTGAACGTTTGAAAGTTATCCGTTGCACATGTACGTACGTGTTTGGTGAGCGAGTGTGTGCGCGTCTCTAAGAGGTAACGCATACAGGAATACGTGCTGGCGTATTGAATGAGGGTGTCTGTGCAGGTTAAAACATTGCAGGTGTCCATATTGGAGTGCAAACGACTGTATAAAACCTGTACGCACACATTAACAAATGTATGCATGTCTGAATGCGTATGAATGTATGTATGTGTGCACTGCTTGCGTACATGTTAATGAGTACTGAATGGCTGTACATTTCTAACGTGTTAATGTGTGAACTACTGAACGTTCGTGTGAAAGTGGGTACTGAAACGCAAGTATGCCTGAGAACGAGAAAGCGGGGGGGGGGGGGGGGGGGGGGCGAGAGCAAGTGGGTGTGCGTGCGTCGCTTCAAAGCGTCACCAAAAGCCAAGGCAGCAAAGGAATTGGTGGTTTGGTTACCGAGAGAAAACGTAGAGAGTTAAAATGGCAAGGCTGGGGCACGAGGGCTGACCAAACACCGCCTGTGCTGTTGCTCGCAGGCACCAAGAATTGACCGTCGCCAGGGGGAGACTACAACACGTGAGGGGATAACGGATTTTACAGGTGTTTACACTCGCGAATCGCGCCCACCTCAAAGCACGCCTGGAAGGTCAGCGGGTATCATTTTTTCTTGTTCAATCCTGACGTTCTATTTTTTTCCCCAGCTCTCCTTTCTCTTCCTTTTTACAGACTCTCCACATGCGCCTGAAAAAAAACTATTCCTGTGCAAGCTGGACTTGGACAAAAACACCGACGCCTCAAAAGACGCTTACAATTTGTTTGTTTTTTGCGCAAACGTAATCATTCTAAAAACTTTGGTTGGTTGCAACTATTTTGTCATCATTTTACTCGTTAGTCAATCAATCCACTAATTATATTTTCTCGTTTACGTGCGACCGATATTGTTTTAAACATGACCGACTGTGTGCTAGCTGCCAAAATGTTAGGAATACAAATGCAAAAAAAAAACCAAATTTTTGAAAAAATATACCTTTACACAAAAACAAGTTCGTCTTCGTTACTTTTTTTTTGGCTTTTTCTTGTTTTTTTACGAAAACTTTTTCTTCTTTTAAAAACCACCAACAAATGCAGTAAAAACTTGTGCTGTGTAGGCTTTTGCATTGACAAGACGACGGGCATGTACAGTAGTACAGTGAGCGGCTGGCTGTCAGGTTCATGTACAATCTGCTGTCAAACTTGAGGAAGTACACACCACGTAACCACACATTCAACATGCTTTCGCCCTGAGACTTGGATAAAATTGCAGGAAATTAACCAAATCAACAAACATGCATTCGTTAGCACATTTCATATTCCCAGTCTGGAGTTCAACCTTTTGCACATTAATATTATCCATATATTTTTATTTAATTTTAAAGTATCAATCCAAAGGAACTCACTTAATCGTATCACGTAAAAAAATTAAAGAAATAAACTAAAATAATTAAAACATCTTTTATTACTTCAGCTAGTTCCCTGGTTAGCCCATGCCACTGTGCTTGTAATGCACACCGAGCTGTTGATTCATCTGCCAATGAAAGCGAAATGTTTATATAAGATCCGATAAAACTACACGCAACTTCCTGGAGAAACAAAACGAGAAAATTATTTCAGGAAATGCACAAGCGCACACGCGGAGGTGAGAAGAGAAACCGGCCTGTTGAAAACGCTTCCGTGCACAACCCTGTGGAGCGTGATGGCGCAATCATGTTTTTAGTCCAGCCTGCGCAGAACGCTTACATCATTGTGGCGAGCTAAGAAAAACAGAAAGGAAAAACAAACAAAAAAATAACAACATCCGCCCTTTACATATATTATTACTATTACACAGAGTCAATGAATGAATGAAAAACAAAATAAGGGCCAAACAAGAACCGAGGAGGAAACATTTAAAATAGGGGGGCAAGCGCCGGCTGTGCCACGACGGCGTGAGGCACGGGGGGCGCTCGCGCCACTGGGGCAGCGGAGTCGTCGCGTCGTTGAAGGGGGGGGGGCGGCGGGGGGGGGATACAGAGCGGTGACCGAGGAGGAGGAGGAGGCGGCGGTGGCGCCAGTGGCCGGCGCCCCCGTGCACTACCTGCGCCCCCCCGTGAAGTGGATGCCGTTGGGCAGCGGCGACGGGGAGGCGTGCGGCGGCGGCGCCATCGCAGATAGCTGCGACGGCGTCAGCGGCGGCAGCAGCTCAAGCTCTACGAGCAGGGAGAAGTGGTCGGAGGGGATGCTGGGGTGCGGGCAGCCGGTCACGTTGTTCTCGTCCAGCCAGTGCGTGTCCAGCGGGCCCAGCACGCCCAGCAGGTTCAGGTGCAGCTTCGAGTAGAAGATGTAGTCGATGACGCCCTGGGGATGGTGCGGCACAGGAGAGCGACATGAACCCCATGATACGACGCCGAGCTCCACCCGTGCATTTTCAAATTTTAAGGATATCATTTTTAGTCGGTCCCCATGTGACTTGGGGCGCCAGTGTTTACAACACCACTGAACATTGCGCAATGTCTTCTGTAAATAAATTTGTACCGCTGACATGCGAAATGTTTTTTTTTAGTGAGTGCCAAAGCGCCCCAAGTCTTACAAAAATATAAGAGAGAAAAAATATAGAATTCAAAAGGAAGAAAACTCAAGTGCTCTGCCACGGGAGCACGTCACTCGCCCAAGAGCAATAAAGGAAAGCGGTGTGCGCATGTGCAACCCCGGGTGACCCTGCTGTGATGCAATCCAGTCGGGGGGGGGGGTTGCATTTCTGCAATTAAATATATATTTAAGCTTCCTTTATTGTAATTAAACTTTTGGTAATTTTCCAATTATTCGGTCATAGATATGTATCTAAAAACTATTTTCTGTGGAGCACCGCCATCTGTCGGATCACTCTCCCAACCACATCTGAAAGAAAGTTTTTTAATAAACTGTTTCTATTGTAGAAACAGGTCGGGCTTCGCTCGGTGTGAAATTCGCCTAATGTGACACGCTACGGTCCTGCCACCGCACAGCACAACAAACGACGCAGGGCAGCAACTACTCAACGGCTTTGCGTGCGTACCTTGAAGTCGTAGGTGTAGTTGGTGTAGGGCATGATGCCGTTCTCGTAGGCGCTGCGCATCTTGAAGGAGTGCGTGATGAAACCGTTGGGTGAGCCCTTGCCGTTGCAGCTGAAGTTCATGAGACACTTGTTGTAGGCGAGCTCCTTCAGGTCCTTGTGGTTCTCAGGGACGCCGCCCGAGCTCAGGTACTCCACCACGCCTGCGGAGAGACGGCCACGGTACACACGCACGGACACATGGGCCTCATTACCTTTGAGGTGCTAGTGCTGTGGGTGCTACAGTGGTGAGATGTTAACTACCTAGCCTGGTATACAGGAGGCTGTAGGTTCGATGCCAACCTTGACGCCTGTATACTTGGAGTTTACTTGTTCAACCCGTGATCACGTAGATTTGACTCCGGGTCCTCCGGTTTTTCCCTCCTCATTTAGAAACATTGTGAGTATTTGGCTGCTATATTACCACATGATATCACTTCTTTAAGCTATCATTTGAGGCCAAGACACTTCTGAAAATAGTGGGCCTTACCTGGTAAAGTAAAAAAAAGTTTCTAGTTTAGTGTGTGCGGCAGGATGGTGCCATTGTTAAGAGTGCTCGAAACGCAGCAAGATGGGGCGAGAGTTCAAATCAGTTGGGGGTCATCGATCTCAGCCCACGATGCCTCATGGGTCAAAATCATTACTACCCAATTCACGGAAAGTCGACAAGAATTTAAATTACAGGGAATATCACGTGCATGAGTTACTTCGTTATTCAAAGCACAAAGCGAGATTAAGAAATTGCATGTTTGTGGGAAATGTCGATGAACTGTTATACTCGAAAGTCAGTTACGTGAGCATTGGGTAAGAACTCGTATCCATCGAGTCCTGAAGCAGCAGTAAAAAAAGAATATATTATCAGGGCAGGGACTAATGTATCCATAGCACACATGCATATCACCCAGTAAACTCCCTCATCAATAACAGTGTGGCATTAAAAATGAAAAAAATATAATATGCGACGCTTTGGGAACTGGCCCTTCTCATAGTAAATACAGAGGTCAGAAAGAAGGAGTGAATAAGAGATGGATGCACGATTCACCATGCTTGACAAAGATTACATTTATAAAGTGTTTTCGGATGAACAGTTTTAAATAAGCAGCCAAATTACTCGAAACTAATGTTTCTATACTCTTTGGTTATTTCGGTAAAGTCACGTAGATATAAAAGAAATCACTCAAATCAAGCGATTCATTTTATTTTATACCTACGTGACTTTACCGAAGGAACCAAAGAGTATGGATTCCTGCAGTCACGAAAGCTTCAAATCTAGAATGTTTCTAATTGTGGAAGGAAAAAACAAGAGGACCTCTAGACCATGCAAACTCCAGATATACAGCAGGCATCAAGGGTTTGCATTGAACCCACGACCTCCTACGAATAAAATTAAAAACAATGGTAACCAAAGCTGGAGCTCGTTACCGGAGTCGGGCAGCGAGTTCAGGTCGGCGCACAGCAGCAGCGGGATGGTGCTGCAATCGCCCTTGGTGGAGGGGCCGCCGCCGCCGCTGGACTTGGCGAGCGCGCGGCTCGCCTCCTCGGCGATGCTGCGGAGCTCCGACAGGAACATCATCGTCTGGATCAGCTTGACGTCCGAGAACTCGGGGTCCCAGTGGATGTGCGCGTTGGCCACGAGCAGGGTCTGCTTGATGTCGTTACCTGTGAGCAACGCTGGAAGAGGTACCGCAAACAATTTCATCAACATCGTGATTACACCATAATTTATTTATACCACATCTTCCGTGAAGTACTTCTACAAGCGCAGGAAGCAGCACTTGTGTTTGTGCCACTGAGAAAATCACAAGATGAAAAATATCCCCCCTGCTTATTCTAATACAGAATACAAGGATCAATTGCTGTGAGCACCCGTTCAAACCAGAAGGGCACATGGGATAAGGTGGTGTGGCCAGCATAACACTTAACTGCTTTAGTACCAAGTAATGAAGTTTATCTGGTCCATTAGCAAGAGCCGTCAACTAATTAATAACTAATTAATAATAAACAGAGGCCCCTAGCTCTCAACCTAATCCCAACGTTAGCACGAGCCCACGCCTTCCTACACATCAGTGCGAACACTTGGCCTCTCTATCCATCATCCCATATATCCATCCGCACCTGCCGATTAGTACGGTTGGTGAAGAATGGTGCAAAAGAACTTCAACATACATACATGCCGCCCACGACTTCCTACGCAAGAACAAAGATCCCCTTATAATCTTAACAGCCTGTTGGGGCAAGCGTTGTTAAGCGAGCACCTACGAAAGCCGACACGGCATATGAGGCGGTAGGTGGCCAACACCACGCCCGGCCACATGTTTCTTCCCAGTGCTGATGTTTACACACCACACCAGGTATTCATTTATTGCCGAGTCGACCTAAGGGAGATTCAGGACCATTCAGATATTTGTTACCGATGTTGGCTAAGAGCAGGAATTGAACTCAGTGGTGGCCTGGTTTTTAGCACAGCGCTCTTAACCTTTCCCCATTCCGATGATGTACGTGTACTTTATCGGAACGAAGATGTACCGAGGCTTCCACAAGGCCATGCGGGAGGGCGTGCGGCAGTTTGGCACCAGCTATCATAGTGCAGTCGTATCGTTAAAAACAATGGCGCTGTGCTTTTAAACAAAATGAACGCCGAATCCCTTATGCATTCCGAGATTCAGCAGTGAACGGGACAACCACCCTGAAACTCGCAGACGTTTCTGAACGGGAAAGGGTTAACTGCTACACCACCGCTCCACAAGGGAGATAAAGACAGTGCATTACACACACACATGCAACTCACAGGAGCCCTGGAAGTTCACATCCTTGACCTCTAGCAACACAGCCACCCCGATGTTGTCCTTGGTCATGACACGGTTCAGCATAGCCTCTGAGCCCTCCGAGTTGGCCATTGCCAGCTGGTTAAACTCCACCAGGTGCTCTTTGATCAGTGTGAACCTTAATGGGGTGGTGGTGGGGGGGGAGGCAGGAACAGAAGGGGAAAAGGATAGGGAAAAGTACACGAGGGAAAAGGGAACCCACACTTGCAGATCAAAATGTGACATATCCTACACATCAGCATGTTAAGGCCTGATGCCAATACTACACATTTAGTAGGTGTCATGAAAGTGTTCCTAAGCTCATGGGACGTATTTGAATATGTTCAACGATGCCTTATTATATTCACATGACGTGTTTTGACAATAATTATATGTTAATCAGTCGCCAGTCATAACGAATAGCCGCCAAAACCGTTTTCTATTTACATATGTAATCGCCCAAATCCTCACAAATCTTACAGCTGGGTAACTAGGAAGGCAACATTTATTCAGCTCACAGAGGTCACAGGATCAACCAAGAATGTGTGCTCTGGAGACCAATCATTGTTAATCAACTTTCAAACTTTGTTTTCAATACATGGACGGAACTCCATCACTTCATGCTTTTGCAATACTGCGTTTCCATCCTTGGTAAATGCATTATTGGTGATGACCCCCTTAAAATTGCCCCCTCATGTGTCACGGACTTAAGCAAGAGGATGAGTAGATGCTGGGCGGGCACTGCTACTCGCATTCACTCACTTGTCGCTCTTGAAGAAGACGGCGCAGCCATCGACGAATTTGCGCTCCTGCTCGGACATAGTGCGCGCGCGCGACTTGGAGCTGAAGATGCCGCTGTAGCCCTGTAACTTGAGCTCTGGAAGAAAGAAGTTCCAGTACTGGTCCGTCTCTACCTCCTGCACGCACGCACGCGGTGGCCAGGGGTGAGAGATGTTAAATTGTCACCGGTGTTAAACAAATCAAAGCTGCACGGACTGCATACAAGATCCTTTTGGCACTCGACGTTTTGCCCTGTCTACCAACTTAACTAAATAGTCTTCTTTAGCACACAAACTGATGGATTGCAACATCACACATCTTGGTATTTGACCTACACAGGTTTTATTTTGCAAAATACACATGCCATCCTCTCAGAGGATTGCTCACCTGGTCTTAAATATATAATATGATTGATGTGCACTGTATCCGTCTGCTCGTTGGTTGGTTGACTAGCAGGTCACGCTATTTACATTGTGCAAAAGTGCATATTTTAGACAATTAGATGTCATACATACTCTTTGGTTCTTTCGGTAAAGTCACATAGGTAAAGAAAAAATAGATCACGACGTTTCGATCGCAACACAAGCAACCGTCATCAGGTGTGAAACAAACACAGCAGGAGGACTGCTGTCATAGGAGAAAGAGCTGCTGCAACAAGAGTTTATATAGGATTTTGGTGGGCTCAACCCAAAGATAAGTGGGCGGGGCTAGAGAAGAAATTTGTATGTAAATGTAAATGTGAGAGATTAGCATGTCAATGGGAGACAGCCCAGTCACCGGAGGCGTGCCAATGAGAAGATTTAGCGTGTCAATGTCAGAGCCGGGCAGCAGGAACAACAAACCCCTAAGAGCAAGAGGTACACATGATGACAGGGAGACAGAGCGAGAGACACACACAGAGTTGGATATAACAGCTGACATAGGTAGGATGGAAACATCACAGTCAGTTAAGACTTTACTTGGTAAATAACGTCCTTCTAATGATTGCTCAATTTGTACCCATCTTCTTACTTTGCCATACATAGCAGGGGTTACCAAAAAGAGCTCCAAAATCTTAAACAAAACACAAGATCCAGGTTCATTTCAACACAGTACACAAAATCCGTGATTTGATCCTATCTGATAATTGGTTCTTTACCCTTCTATCTGGCAACAAAACTGACACCTTTTTGCAAGGAGTCATGTTTGCATAGACCGCAATACCTGCAGTCATAATACAAACAAAAGAACATAACTCTGATAATGTGCACTGTCCTTGAAGTTGATTGGTCCACACCTGAGACAGCTTTCCTTAGAGCCTAGTCTCATATGGGTTGGACCAGATGGCGCCAAAAGGCGCACAACTCAAGGACAATGCACCATCAGAGTATGAGAGCTCGGGGCAAGCATCTACACTATGGGGACCTCATTTGCCAGTAAAAATATGATAATTGGTTCTTTACCCTTCTATCTGGCAACAAAACTGACACCTTTTTGCAAGGAGTCATGTTTGCATAGACCGCAATACCTGCAGTCATAATACAAACAAAAGAACATAACTCTGATAATGTGCACTGTCCTTGAAGTTGATTGGTCCACACCCGAGACAGCTTTCCTTAGAGCCTAGTCTCATATGGGTTGGACCAGATGGCGCCAAAAGGCGCACAACTCAAGGACAATGCACCATCAGAGTATGAGAGCTCGGGGCAAGCATCTACACTATGGGGACCTCATTTGCCAGTAAAAATATGATAATTGGTTCTTTACCCTTCTATCTGGCAACAAAACTGACACCTTTTTGCAAGGAGTCATGTTTGCATAGACCGCAATACCTGCAGTCATAATACAAACAAAAGAACATAACTCTGATAATGTGCACTGTCCTTGAAGTTGATTGGTCCACACCCGAGACAGCTTTCCTTAGAGCCTAGTCTCATATGGGTTGGACCAGATGGCGCCAAAAGGCGCACAACTCAAGGACAATGCACCATCAGAGTATGAGAGCTCGGGGCAAGCATCTACACTATGGGGACCTCATTTGCCAGTAAAAATATGATAATTGGTTCTTTACCCTTCTATCTGGCAACAAAACTGACACCTTTTTGCAAGGAGTCATGTTTGCATAGACCGCAATACCTGCAGTCATAATACAAACAAAAGAACATAACTCTGATAATGTGCACTGTCCTTGAAGTTGATTGGTCCACACCCGAGACAGCTTTCCTTAGAGCCTAGTCTCATATGGGTTGGACCAGATGGCGCCAAAAGGCGCACAACTCAAGGACAATGCACCATCAGAGTATGAGAGCTCGGGGCAAGCATCTACACTATGGGGACCTCATTTGCCAGTAAAAATATGATAATTGGTTCTTTACCCTTCTATCTGGCAACAAAACTGACACCTTTTTGCAAGGAGTCATGTTTGCATAGACCGCAATACCTGCAGTCATAATACAAACAAAAGAACATAACTCTGATAATGTGCACTGTCCTTGAAGTTGATTGGTCCACACCCGAGACAGCTTTCCTTAGAGCCTAGTCTCATATGGGTTGGACCAGATGGCGCCAAAAGGCGCACAAATCATACTCTGATGGTGCATTGTCCTTGAGTTGTGCGCCTTTTGGCGCCATCTGGTCCAACCCATATGAGACTAGGCTCTAAGGAAAGCTGTCTCGGGTGTGGACCAATCAACTTCAAGGACAGTGCACATTATCAGAGTTATGTTCTTTTGTTTGTATTATGACTGCAGGTATTGCGGTCTATGCAAACATGACTCCTTGCAAAAAGGTGTCAGTTTTGTTGCCAGATAGAAGGGTAAAGAAACAATTATCATATTTTTACTGGCAAATGAGGTCCCCATAGTGTTGATCCTATCTGTAAAGGATGTGATTTCTGACATGCAATACCCTGGTGTCTACAAACTAAGTTATGGCTGCGGCAGCAGTTACATTGGGGAAACGACACGTTTCGGACCGAGTTCGCGAACACAAGGCTGAAACACGGTAGGACCAATACCTCTGCCGTTGCTGATCATTGTTATAACGCTGTGGGCTCACACGAAATAGATTTTTCCAAGATGAAGGTACTCTGCAAACCCACCGGCTACCTTCAGAGATTTGTTCATGAAGCCATCCAGATAAAAAAAACAGACAACTTCAACCGAGAAGATGGGTACAAACTGAGCAATCATTGGAAGGACGTTATTAACCAAGTAAAGTCTTAACTGACTGTGATGTTTCCACCCTACCTACCTGTCAGCTGTTATTTCCGACTCTCTGTGTGTGTGTCTCTCTCTCTCTGTCTCCCTCTCATCATGTGTACCTCTTGCTCTTAGGGTTTTTTTGTTCCTGTTGCCCGGATCTGACATTGACATGCTAATCTCTCACATTTACATACAAATTTCTTCTCTAGCTCCGCCCACTTACCCTTGGGTTGGCCCACCAAAATCCTATATAAACTCTTGTTGCAGCAGCTCTGTCTCCTACGACAGCAGTCCTCCTGCTGTGTTTGTTTCACACCTGATAACAGTTGCTTGTGTTGCGATTGAAACGTCGTGATCCATTATTATTTCTACCTACGTGACTTCACCGAAAGAACCAAAGAGTATGGATTCCTGCAGTCACGAAAGTTTAAAATCAAAAATTAAATGTCACTCCCTTGGGTGTGACATGGACTCAGGGGTCACTAAATCCAGATTGTGAGCCAGACATGTCTCATCTCCCTTTCCCCACTTTGTCCTGCCGCTTCTGTCCATCCCTATGCTTTCTTCCCACCCATAAACAATCAAATGCTGTCCTTGCCTACCCCTCCTTGACATCCTCGTGTTTTATATAATCGCCACCCTCCCTGTCCAATAACCTATCTCTGCTCTACTCAACTACTCTTGCTTGGACTGAACTGGTCTTGCCCTACACTCAACTACCCAAGACTCGACTAAACATTTCCCTCAACTAAAGTGCCTATTCCCTTCATGCAACTATCCTTTATTTTGCGGCAATTTCCTTATCGACACACAACCTTCACTTAACACTACATTATCCTTTCCCATACTTACCCCTTCCCAGTTCTCTACTGCCCTTCCCAATACAATACTGCCCTTCTCCTGAACTCAACGTTCATTCATAGTTTGTTGTCCTTCCCCCGCATCTCCGATATGGACGGTTGGCTATGTACAGTGCGAAAGAAGCTCAACATGCACACAATTGTACTTTTCTATGTTTTCCCACCCTTTCCAACCATGTGTTGCCCTTCCACACCTCCCCCGGCCACCTCATCTACGCGCATCCACGTTCTCCCTCCCTCGTCTCTCGCCTCACTCACCTGCAGGCTAATGATGTCGGCGCTGTACTGCATGATCTCCTGCATGATGCCCTTCTTGCGGTACTCCCACGCAAGCGCCCACGTCGGGCAGTAGCCGTACAGTTGCCGCGTGGCGTACTTGTCGCACAGTACGTTGTAACACATGACCGTGATTATGGCTGTGCCGCACACACACACACAGATCCCGCATATGGTATTTAACAGACTGTTGGGCTGAGTGCTGTCGGCAAGCACCTAGAAAGGCTGGGAGAGTGGCATACAAGGGTGTGGTGTGGCAAGCAGTATGCCATGCTGCCTTTGATTCCCCAATGCTGATGTTCACACACTGCATCAGGTACTCATTTAAGGATGAGTTGATCTAAGCAAGGCCCTGTTCATATATTCATCAGCGATGTTAGCCGTAAGTGGCCCTCATACTCTAGTGGCTGGGTTACTAGTGCAGTGCGCGAACCAAAATACCACCACTCCCACGAACAAACACGTAAACACATTTGGTCAGTCGTGCTCAGACAAATTACTTCGCATACGTGTTCAGAGCACAACACAATCGTATCAACTCATTATTAGTATGCATAATAATGATTAATTATATCTCCTTGTAAATCCACTGCTGGTTGAAGGCATTACCACCCACACCTATGTTGCGTGGGTGCATTTTGCAGTTGAACAAATTGCCAAGTATAAGAAGATGTTTTATTACAAGCATTAAATGCCATTCAGTGAGCATGTGCAATCTGTGTAAGTCACTTCATATTTGCACTGGGACGTGAGGCACAGGCTATATGTAGTCAGGTGTTGTAAATAATATAATTGGTGGCCAAAAGCTGCACAACTGAAGGCTCCAGCAAGTTTAGATGAACAGTTACATGAGCTTAGCGACCCATCAAGACGTGTAAAAAATTCCTAAAACATTTCATTGTAGTCTTATAAAATAGCTTTCAGTACACAAAGGCATTTTTAGATGACCCGCATGTCCATGTGTATGTGCACAGCCAGTTTAGTCACTGCTGGACTAGATAGAAGGCTGCCCATTGCCATGCAGGTCATGTGGGTTATGTAGCCACAGTGAAACACGCCAAACAATATGGGTAGTGCTGGGAAGAGTGCAGAACAGTGGATTTCACTGCACTGCCCTCAAATGCCCACATGACCTATTGCAACTATCTTCTGCCCAAGGCGGTCGTCTGTCCAAGCACTCAGGGCTCCGCCCTGCTTAGCTTCCAATATTTAACCAAGACCATCCAAGCTGCCTAAGGCAAGACACAAATATAAGAGAGCATCCTGAGCTATGACCCTAATCCAAATCCCAGCACTAGCACCATCCTTATAAACCACTCTATTCATGCAAATCATGAATCAATAACATTTTTCACGAACTGGGAACCTAAGTGGGTATTGCTTCGAATCGTATTGTCTGTTGGCGGAGAAAGAATCGCGAGTCCTCACCGGGTGGCCGCGCTCGGTCTGGGTTTGCGAGCTGGATCCACGGCCGAGGGGGCGGCTGGTCCGGCTGCACAGAAGCTGAAGGACACATGGGCAGACAAAGCACATGGCTCTCATCACCAGGCACCGCCACCACGACCGCCAAAGCTACGTATGGAAACCCAAGTGTGCAAGCTTACATACAAAGAAAGAAGAACGTCACAACTGTTCATGGATAAAACAAGCACACAAGCAGACAGCTCGTACACTCCTCACACAGCTGATTCTAAAGACCCGGAACATCGGCAAAAAATAGCAATCGCTGACCAGCTATTTAAGAACACATGCACAAAGCCAAAAACATGATCACAACACAGCCATTTAAGCATACATAGGCAGGATTGAATGACCTCTATAAAAACTGGACCATCTCAAGCTTTAAATAGACAACATCCAACCAGACACTGTCTGCATCTTTGAAACGTGTCAATAAATAATAACTTGATAACTTCAGCTCCTTCAGTATACACAAACAAGAATAGGTTTTACCCTTTTGGGAAATAAAACAGGTGTCAGATGTTTAAACACCAAATATAAAAAAAATTCAGGGAACCAACTCCTTCAGACTCGACAGACCTTGTCTACATACGTCGTGACATTGCATGTTTCCTCTTTCCATTCAACCATGGATCAGATTAACTGATGAGATCTTTCCTCCGCAACCAACATATCATAGTTTTGGGCTCTAACCGGCCACCAAAAAGTCATGGTTATAAATTGCTGCAAGTTCTTTGGAATGCCATTTCCGCTGTATCTGAAGGGGAGCTGATTATCACTGGTTACTTAAACTGGGTCAATCCTCCGATTGAGGCTCTTGCCTTCAGAGATTAATTCAGCCCATCTCAGCTCACCTGTTCGCTTTACGTGTCTTAAAAAGTCTTCATCACTCATCAACCATTTATGTCTTTACGTCAAAATAATCCAGAAAAGTTTGTAAAAGTGAGTGTGCTGGGAAATCATCTGAGTGACCACTCAATGATATTTGGCATTCAACATATGAAACTCTAAGTTCAACATTAGATCATATATAAATTCTCTTTAAAATTATTTGACCATCAGGTCGTCATACACGACATTACAAATTGCTTTATATCTGTAAGATTCTTTTCAAAGACCTACCTTTCTATTGTTGACAAGCACACCCCCCCCCCCTTGCTTCAACCCAAAAATTGCCCAGCTCACCCACTCCTTAAGCACAGCTTGGAAATTTGCTAAGCAAACGGGTTTGGACTCAAACTGGAACAAATTTAGAGTCCTAAGGAAATACTGCACTAAATTAATCTGGCAAAGCAACTACTATCATTTTCAGGATACCCTCTTGGATCAAAAAATGACCTCACATCTTTTCTGGAAAGCCATGAAGACCCTTGAAGCTAAAACGCCCGAATATGGAGTACCGCCAAAGATGTTGCTCAATGGCAGTTACCTTTCTGGTCAAACTGCAATAATAATTTGGTTTAACTCTCACTTTGCATCTGCAGGCCACATCTTCAACAACACCGATATCCAGCACCTTGTGACACTACCATCCACCCACCTCTTGACCTACCGGCCCCTCTCCTCACCCCCCCATAGTCAGAAATTTAATTTCCTCCCCATGTCGGAATTTGAAGTCCTAACCATGCTCTCCATGCTAAACACTTCCTCTGGTGATGGCACCGATGGCCTACCCACCTTTGCCCTCCACCTTTTGGGGAACTTCAATGCAAAACAAGTAACTCACATATCAAACCTTTCCATTACAAAGCCATCCATCTGTTCTGAATGGAACACCACTCTCGTGTGCCTTGGTCATAAAGGCGGCACTACCGATGAGACAAACAATTAACGCCCCATCTCTCCCCTCTCAACAACACCCTTAAGATGATCTTAAAATCACAAATTTCATCTCAGAACGTGCTTCTATTCTATCTTAAGCTATCTGGCTTTCGAGAAAAATGCAGCGCAGCCTCTGCGGTACTCGGTACTATTGGCTATCTTACAACAGCCGAGATTCATTGTGTACTATTATCTACGTAATATTCTATTGCCGTACTCCATTCTGAACTTTGAAAATGCTTACTCTACTCTGCCAAACAATTAAAACAGCTTGAAACTTCAGGTTTAGGTGCTTTAAATAAAAAGCAAGAGTAAAAAACTTAAAAATAAAAACCACCAACCTGCCAGGTTGTCCAGCATGAAGGCGAGCAGTTTGCGAGTGCCGTCCGACTCGTGATAAACTTGCATAATGTCGGGGGGAAGAGGATTGCCTGCACAGCATAGTCACAAGCATTATACCGTGCCGTCCCTGGTGTGTGCCTGCAAGTTATTTAAAGAATAAACAATTAAGAAAACCGTCGCAGAAAAAAGATGCGCTGTACTTGTATAATCGGACCTATCACCCCCCATCCTTGCTCTTGAGGCTGCATTGGCTATCAGTTCAGATGTGGAATTATTTCAAGTCTTGTTATATGCATCACACTTATAGTCTCCTCGGTTCCTGGGTGGCTCAGGGTGGGAGAGAACTTGGCTCTGGGGCCCAGCCTTGTTGCCAGCACGAGTCACAGTCTGCACAAATGAGTCGTCCCTGACTGGCGCTCACCTTTAAGGCCCAGCTTCTGCAGCTGAAAGAGCTTCCCCAGCTCGAAAGGCAAATTCCGGAGAAGGTTGTGGTTTAAATGTAGTTCCCTGAAAGCAGATGCAAATTCCACACAATTCAGTGAAGGATGCTCTAAGTTTGAGTCTCATCAAAAAAAATCTCCATGTGTGGTGGCTCACGCTTGTAAATCCAGTGCTCTGTAGGCGAGGATGGTGAATCATGCGGTTATTACGTGTGCTCCAAAATGTGGCCAAGAAATATCAATTTACAAGTGGATTCCTGACAAATCTGTGTGGATTTTACATTATCACTTCATGTGCATGGATTGTCTTTGATAGCCTGGTTTCCACCCACATGCAAAACACTGATTTAAATGTAATTGGCAAAACATCTGCCATGCAGGAACCTCCTGAAAGTAACTTTCGTCTCACCAAGAATTGAATAAACAAAATGAGGATCTTACACCGTAATTAGTTTTATCCTGCAACAATTCATGCAAGCCTTAAAAAACCTCTGCTTGCAATATTTTACCAATTCCTTTTGCAAGTATTTGCATGTGTGTCTATGTCAGAGGAAACCGTAATGCCCAGATAACAGCCACTCATACAAGATGAGAGCACTGCAGAGGTGTCTGAATTCATTAATATGGTGTTTCCTACAGCAGCATTCCACATCAACACTTCTTAATTCTCATGGGCCAATCAAAGAAAAATATGGAACCTTCAATGGCTCACAATAGTGTCTACATGACATTATGGAATCGTGAACGAGACCATAAACATGAACGAAACCGGAAACAGATGGGCAGAGCAATGAGCTAGCGAGCAATAAGCCCGCTTTTCATGGGCTCCCCAGGACAGAGCAATGAGCAAGCACCACCTAGGTCTTGGGTTTTAATCATGATTAATCCAGATTCTCAAAAGTTATAATTCGATGGGCTCACTGCAGTAACTAATGAATGCACAAAATAAATGTGGGTTTCAATTAATTCAGCCTAGATCAGCCCCTGAAACATAACATACATAGTATGCAATATATTCGGGTAGAAAAATGGTTGAAGCATTACATTATAAATCTGGGCACCTGAGTTTGATCCCAGCCGTGGCCTACATCAGTAGCACATTATATCTAAACTAGGCACCCCTCATTATTAACCTATTGTGACCAACAATTTACTGTGGTCAAACAACCCCTATAAGTGGCATGAGATGTGGATGGATAAAAGTCTGGAAATGATTGTCTTATTATCAAATATATACTTATTTGCCCAGAAAAGGCTCATCTCCTGGCCACTTAGCTGCGTGGGTTTGGCAGTTGCACAAACATTAAAAAATTCACCAACACTCGTTTCCAAAATACTGCATTACAGGTGTGCACTAACATGCCTGGCAAAGCCATTCTGTGCAGTCACACCAGGGAAGATGCCCAACATCGCGTGATGCTCTGCTGAATGAGGGTGTTGAGGATGTTTTATTGCTTTGTGACATTACAACTGGGACTGAGAATTAGGTTTTGTACCTTAGTCAAAACAGTTTTTTTGATGGTTGGTGTCACGATCCACTGGACTCTTCTTTTAATTATTAACATTTATTTGTAACATTTTTGGCCACACACATTTCGTGGCCAAAAAGGCAATTGCTAAATGTTAAGAATAAAGCAGAGTCCACTGGACGGCGACACTGACGATCAAAAATCACCAGCCGGTGAAAAGGCACACAGTTGCGAGGGTGGCACGCTCACCTGAGAGAGACCATGGTGCCGATCTCGGCGGGCAGGCTGCGCAGCTTGTTGGCCGACAGGTCCAGGTAGAGCAGATTATGCAGACGGGCGATGTCGGGCGGGATTCGCGAAAGGTTGTTGTCGTTAAGGTGCAGGGCGGTAAGGTGCGTCAGCGACCAAAGAGAAGTGCTCAAACTCTTGACTCTCCCTGGGTGGGGGGGAGGGAAAGAGACTATTTTAAGAAAGCAGTCCAACTTATCCTCTTTGGTCCGCACTTAATTTGAGTAAATTCCTCCAATGGACATTTCTGTCAGTGGCTAAGAGAAAGGAAATTAAATACAAATGATGCATTCCAGTGTTACGTAATAAACATGGTTTTGTACCTTGGTCAAATTTTGTTTCGAGTCAATCCCACCGTGACAGGACTTTACATCCATTTAGCACCTTCCCGAAGGGCCACGAATGTGTGTAGAGAAGGCTTTTAAGGTAAGTACTAAGTGCCTGCCCGAAACTATGTCACCTACCTGCTCTCTACCTACAGACCTTAACTAATTTTTAGTACAGCACAATTTTAAGACAGGGAATTGTAAATATAAAAAACGAGATTGTGTACCTTGGTAAAAACTTGTTAGTCTAGTCCATACTGCCAGCCACCGGTTCAATGTTATTCTTAACATTCAGCAGTTCCCCTTGGGCCACGGAACGTGCTGCTGATAAGGTTGAGGGTGGGCACTAAATGCCCTCACTGGCCAGTCACACTTCCCCACTCCCTAACCATATGCCTTACTACTGATAGCAAAGCACAACGAACTTAACACCCTCTTTTCCACGGACACAAAGGCCATGTGAAGAAGAGGGGAGTAGAAGGGAGAAGTCTGACATTGAACAGAACACAAGCAGAGGCCCCCCACCCTGACGTAATGTGTGTAGATTCGGACCATTGCAAATTTAATAGCCTACGTCTTCTCTCCAATTTATCAAAATGGATAATTGTACCGACTGTGGTAATCTCCCGATGATCAATGACAAGACACGTAAAACAACATGTGCGAGTCGGCACTCAACATTTCCAAAACACACTTACAGCGTCTCGGTGAACGTTTAGGCACCATGCTGGTAAAGGCATTAACAACAATATTTCATTAAGCTGCATGTTGACTATCATACATTTTAACAAATATCAACGTGGATGAGAAACCAAACTCCAAGAGAGAAGAAAGAACATGGTTTGTTTGTTTGAGGCTCGAGCAATGTGAAAAAGGTGTACATTTTTAACTCTTAACTGGGATGGCTCTAGCAGTAACTGCAACTCGTCCCGTGATGCAGAAAGAAGAGGGTTATGGGTAGAGGGCTGGGAAGTGTGACGATGGTCGGGGTTGTCTGCAGCACGGCCCAAGGGGAATTGCTGAATGCTTAAAAAAAACATTGGATCAGTGGCCGGCAGTATAGAATTAAGAGAAAATTCCTCCTCTGAAACCACAAGTGGAAAAGGCTTGGAGGGTGAAAACGGAGGAGAGGGTCCCTGATACTCTGAGGGAAACATCGTGAAGAACTTTGCAGGGAAAAGTAGAAAAACAAATCCTCTAAACATGCCTTCCATCCAACATTGCAGCATGATACTGTCAGCAAGTTCCCTTAAATATTCAGAATCAAAAACTTCATTTATCCTGGATGAGCCATTAATCTCTTTTTCACAGATGTCTAGTATGGGCGGGTCAGAAAGTTACAATACAAAAAATTATAACAAATCTTATAATACATCTTGGCAGTCAAAGTATATTCAACATTAAAGGAATATGAAAACAATTCAGATAACATTATATTTTGTGGAACTTGTCTCTTACGAAACAAATGGAGAAGACTTAACATATTAATATTTATACACCTTGAGTTGATGTTTCATATCTACTTTTCAAGCCTTAAAAAATACGAATAAAAAAGGCATTGGGGTAGAATGTTCAGTCAACGCAAATGTTAACATTCCAAGTGAATGCTAACTTCATTGCCACAGATAGGAAAAGAAGCCTGTCGCAGGAATGAATGGGTGGGCAGTCCTGTGGATGGTAGCATTGACTCGAAAAAAAAGTTTTTCCAAGGTAAAGAAACAAAACTTTATATGCAAGAGGCACAGTCCAGAGGACTTTCGTTCATTCTTCCATTGAGCAAATGTTGCAAAGCTGGAATGCGAGAGGAGGGACAGGCCTCTGCTAAACAGCCGCCGACAGAACTGCAAGGTGACGGTGTCCAGTTTATAATGTCTGGCAAAGGTACGAGGCAACTTCCATGTCTCCACCATGCATATTATATCTGTAGTGAGTCCAACCGAGTCGCAGATGTCGTCTTAGGAGCAACACTATTACATCAACTCAACACAACATAACGTAACCTACACTCGGGTGTTGAACGCCCATCTAACCAAGCTACGGCAGAACTAGACACGGTCCCGCTATCTCGGTCTGGACCACGAGCTGGGTTCCGGACTGCGTGGATAGAGGCTTCAACCCGACGTGGATCTTCACTCACCAACAGTCAAGAACCCAGAGCCCCACACGGGGCCTCGTTATATCGGCCCGGGCTGGGGCTGGCTCCGCCCCTCGCTCCGCCCACCTTCTAAATCTCTCGAGCTCTTTCCTGAAGGCTCCCGAGAGCTCCTCGAGACCAAGTGACCACTCAGCGGCCCCCGTCCAATATCATACGGTCACGTGTCGGCAGGTCAACCAGCGTATTATGCCCCAACGTAACCCTGGCTGGCTGACACTCTCTCCCGTTCCCTCACCGGGAGCCCGCACCGCACACTGTACGTGGTGCCTCTGCGCTAATCAGCGCTCACCCAAGCCCCGCTAGGGCTGGCACTACGCCCAGTAGCTGGGCTGCACATAATGACATTATCCGCCGTGGCCTGGCAAGCCCGGCACCACACAGTGACATTCAGTCACTACACATCCAACGGGATTGGAGGCCCTGGCCCAGGAAGTGGCGACCGATTAGGTGGAATGTACCCGAGGATTTCATGGGGGTGCTTCACCGTTTAGCAGTGGGTAAGTCTCTTGGAGCCAGACAGACCTCACCTAGGGAGGCCAAATTTTCCCCTGAACACCTTCCCAAACAATACAAAGCGTTGTTGAATAGGACCAGACCACCAATCTGCGGTCCATTCTCGGTAAAACACTTGCATTCCGGCCATGTCCAATGTGTGCAGTGCCCTCTCTTTCGGACAGAAATAGTGGTGGGTACAATGTCAGAACTTGTAATTGCTGATGTAGATTGAATGTAGACACCACCTTGTAAAGGAAAGGAGGCGATATTCTCAGTATGACCATGGCCAGATGGACAACTACGAAGGGAGGGTAAAACCAGCAGCACCTAGAGCTGCCCTATCCATGTGTTGAGGAGTGGAGTGCTGACGTCAGGTCACACTCGCTTCGGGGGAATGCCGTCAGGGTAAAGTGACGTCATGGCCCCCGGGGTATTTGAGGGGGGACCCGTGACGTGGACGGGGTCTTCGCCAAGAGTCAGAGGAGTGAGTGATTAGGAAGTAGGAGGCTCCGGGATAGAGGATAGAGAGCCAGGCTAAGGGTCTACGTTTCCCGGCTGGCCGAGTTGGATGAACCCTCGGTCAGTGCTGTGGGAAGAGCCCGATAGCCTGGTGGGGTATAGGGAACTCCCAGTACCCTTCCCCTGAGGAGCTTAGTTAATAACCCTCGTGATAACCCCTTCTCCCAAGTTAGGCGTAAGCTCTAAATAAACGTTTGGCGTCAGCCCCGACACGACCGGCTTCAGCGTCCTTTTCTACCACGCAACACATGTAGCCAATATGGTGGCTACGAAGAAGAGTATTGGCCATCAAGAAGAGCTCTAACGTTGTGGCCAAGGGCATGAATGGAATGGCTGTCACGTGAGTGCATCTAGAACCAACCAAAGGTGCAAAGGTGAGATGGAATCTGGCTGATGCCGCCTCTCCAGAGACATAGCTCTAAGAAGCCTGGGAAGCACGGGAGCAGAGCCAACAGACATACTGTTCATATGAACGTGAAACTGCCAATAAGCGCACATTGACCAAAGCAGTTGTGTGACCACCTTCAAACTCCTAATGGAGTTAGTCTGCTACAGCCTGGGAAGGTACACATAAGTGGGTCCAGAACCACCTGAACACATCAGGACATTAACATGCTCCACTGGCTGAAGTAGACTGCCCATGGATGGGAGCCTCGACTTCAGAACTAAGTGTCTCACCCTCTGAACATCCATGCAGGCAGCTGAAAATGGCTAACGTCTAGCAACAGCAGGCCCCGTTGTTGTAACATTATCCCGGACTGGTAATGTCCATGCAGTTAACACAGAAGTTCATGGATGACAGACCACCAGCGGCTCCGAGGCCAGTGTGGGGTGATCAGCAGGGTGGCCTGGCAAGAACTGGGAGACCTAACTGCATCAACAATAAGGACCTGGAGAAAACTGTGTCCCCGCAGTCTAGTGTGGCGCACCACCATTTTCCGCATAACCTTTAGGAAGGAGCCCTTGCCCACTACGTTTGGATCTTCTGCTGCAGGAATTGCAGAAGGGGCAGCGAGGGATGCTTGACTAGCTTTTCCATTGCGAAGAGGGTGTTATTGACCCTGGTGTCCTGAGGCTCTTGCTCGGGGAAGCGTAGCCTCTGGCAGGTCCATTTCCTCAGTGAGGACAAGACTTCCTGTGCGAGTTCCGAGTGTATGACTCGTCCCTGATCAAACAAGTCCTTTGAATCGGAGGCTGATGGGGAGTCATGCTCAGCGCATCTTTTGCTGGACGGCTTGCCGATATGACACATTTTGCTCTCCACTGCCTCTTGCACGGCCAAGCACAGTTGGTCCCAGATTAATTGCATCCAGGGCTCCGATTCCAGCTCTTCAAACTAGTCTCATGAGGCCGAGGACATCATGGATGGGAAGCAGGTCGTGAAGACAATGGACGCGAAGACAATGTTAGTCATCTTTGCTAGCAATTTCACAGACACGTAACATACAACGTTGGGCGAACTGCTGCTATTCACTAGAAACCTTCCAGGCGCGTAAGACTTCACTGTTGGGAGGAATGCTCACTGCTTGTGGCCGTGGGAAGATACTAAGTATGATAGACCTGTGGACGTCGGCAACAATATGGAAAAACTAAGTACTTTATTTACAAGGTGAAGCTCTGGTGGTCATTGTGGGTATATTTCCCAAAATGTCGCTAGATCTAAACTTTACACCTCAGCATGCACTGCTGTTTATTATCTGGATTATTTTTCATATCCGATGGGGATTTAAATCGGCTGCAAAGGATTTAACTTCACACGCTATGAATTAAATGATAAATGCAAAGTCAAAAAGAAAATTTGCCTCCCTGCTAAAAAAAACAATAAGGCAGTATTCAGCTCCAGTGATGGCCCTAAACCAGGAAAATAAATTCGGAATTTTCATTTTGGAGTCCAATCTCTCCATATAATGATGTGATTTGTTACAAAGAACTGAAAATCAAAGCTCCTGTTTGAATGAAGCCAACACTCCACTTAACAGAACACCATCATTATGAGAACATGTGGCAGGAGATTGAGGCAGGTTGGAACTTAACAATAACACCCAAAGAGATCTGAACCTCCTGACACTGACAAACAATGTTAAGAATAGACGGCAAGAGCCTTCTGAGTGTCACCGATACGGTGGCAACATCTAAATGCGGTAAAGGGAGGGCGGCTGCTCGTTCACGCTTAGGGGGGGTGGAGGGGGCACAGAGGGGGGTGGGGTCCTGGAGCTCAGGTTTTTGCCCACTCCATCATATATTACACCTATCCATGGCTAATTTGACAGGCCCTCTATCCACATGCAAACCACAAGCTGCAATGTACAGGCGCCACTCTTTTGTCTAAAAACTAAACTATTTGTACCTACTGGGCTATAATCTCTTTTTCAGAGGAGACCTGGCCACAAATAATAGCTCAACGAAGTGGCGTACCATTTGAAAATTGATAGCAGGAAAATACTCTAAACGCATGTTGATTCTAAATATGGAGGGAAAAACCGGAGGACCCAGAGAAAAATCCCAACAACCACGAGGAGAGAAACATGCAAACTCAAAATTTACAGCAGGCATCAGGGACAGGATCGAACCCACAACCTCCTGCATACCAGGCAAGATAGTTAACATCTTGCCACCGTGGCACATCCTGCATTGCATTGTCAATACACTACCCATGCCTTGTGGGTCATGGCGGTAATGTTACCATACATCACCACGCTGATCATTGTGGGTTGGAGGCAGAGAACATAGATGAGGGAGCATGAAATACAGTACAACAAAGGATTTTGCTGCACTGTCCCCCGCTGCCCACCACGAAGCCCATGCTTTATAGATGGAACTTGTGCAAACTGAGAAAACCCCAGGTTGGCTTGTTTGTCGCACACATGGATTAATGGTTAAATCCTGTGCTCAGTATTTATGTTAAAAAAATCTGAGTGCATGCGGCTTTACAGACAAAGCTCATTATAATGCATATAAACCATTGTAAAATTAAACTCATTGCATTTTATCACCGTATAGTCGTGTTATTTTTTCATAAACAATACATAAAATATCATCATCCAGTGATGTTTTCACAAGCACTTGCAAATTGCATAGTTATTCTTGATTTAAAAAATTAAATGCAAACTGTGAGTGTTGTCTTCAGATTTCATCAGTTATAGCCTTGACGTGTCCGTATGCTTGAATGCATAGAAAAATGTTAATTAAATGTGATTAATCAACCTTCAGCTACTCATAAAATAATCACCCGAGCAGAATCCCTTTTCCGGGAAGAAGCCTGGCAGTAAATATTTGTTTGCTTGACAAAACCAAACTCTCAGCAGTTGTTTTTTTTCCCCACAAGGGATCCTGCTTTCAGATTCTCTGGTCACTTCTTGCAGATAGTTCACAATAAGAATCCGGTAGGTCGCTCTGGTTATGACTGCATGTATATCAACCATAAATGTGACATCTATTCATAAAGATCCTCAGACGTCAATCAAAATGAGTAGGTCGTTGTGTGTCGCGTCACAGCCCATATTTTTCAAATAAAAAAAATACTTGCAACTTACTCAATTGGTATTGTATACAGAAATCAGCAGTCCCTAGTGGCAGAATGTCTATTTACATGCTCGTGCCAAGTCATCTTGTGCCACGTAGGGACAGCTAAAACTGAAGCATTTAAAACAAGCGCCATATGAATCTTAGGATTATTGTCATTATGTATTTTCCAGAATCTTTTAATTTCGTTGGACAGGAGCATAAGAAGACGTAACCATACAAGGGAACAAAACATTTTCATTTCTACATTTGCAAATGATGAACATGACCAAGAATTCACCCTGCGCTGCTATCATCACTGCGCCACTAAGGTTTGCATGCTCCATGGTGGGATGAGCATTTGTTGGGCACGTGCTTTGCGCCAATTTGCATTAATAACAATCCGAGAGAGTTCGCGGCCAGTTCGCAGCAACACAGGGCTGGAGGCTATGGCAGAAAGCAGGGGATATTTTTATCAGGGGTGAAATAACCAATATGGGGCATGGTGATGTGAGTGATAATCATGCCTAAGACCAATATTACATTCTAAGTCATGTTAAAATGATTGGTGTTGTTATCAACATCATGTCTCTGGGGTTGTTGTAGAAATAACTTCTATTTTGTATAAAGTCAGTTCTGATAGCACTATAGATCTAATGGCCCCTGCAATTCTGCCACTGATTTAAGGTTATGAGCATGGAGTCACCAACTTGAAGCCATTTTTGTAGAATCAAAATGCGACTTTTTATTACAAAGCCACAAACGTTTCAGTCAGTGATGTTTAAAATTAATTTGGCGTTTACTCGATAAGTGCTAATGAAAAATGATAAATATCACCTGCATGGTAATAATAGCAATCTATCCTTGTAGTGTAATTATAAAAAAAACAATAACAGCTAAGATATGGGAGGGATCGCGTGGTCACGTGACACATGCCACTATCAATTGCGTCATCCTCTCTGGCGATGGTGGCTACCTGTTTCAGAGCAAGTAGACGATGATACAAGTAATGCAAGTTTAAAGTGAATCTGTGGCTTTGCTTGAGCAAAGATTTGAGTCTAAAGTCCCACGTGTAATGAGGATTCCATTTACAGCTGGAGCAGTCACGTTACAACATCAATACAGACTTCTGTCAGTTTAGACAGCGCATCTCTCATGGCACATCCAGATAAAAGTTTTGTTCATGTCCTTATGTGCTGTTAGCACATATCTGTGGTGCATTACGTAGCGCTCGGCTATCTTTTCTGACCACATTTATGCATTGGTCCATTAAGGGTTGCTTAAAGTATTCAAACATTTATTAAATATGCCTGTTATGCATGCATACATTTGTGTGTTTAAGAATGAATTATTTATAATGTATTGATATTATATTTTATAAATAAGCCCACATTTTTTATACATTTGTACAAAAGACACAAAACTATAAAGGAACAAAAAAAATATCGTGGTAAAAATCTGATTATTTTTTTCAATCACACACACATCCTCTACGTAACTATGAGAAGCCAGTGACTTACAGCAATCAAGGGGAAGGCAACCTGGCCTTCACGCAAGGACTGGTAAAGCGGGACGCAGGGGGTTTTACACAGTAATGGGCAAGGCAACTATGTGGAGGATCAACAATTGTAAGAATTGATAAAATGCAACTGATCAAGTATGCACACATGGATGACTATCCTTACAAATCAGGTTTCGTGAAGGCGAAGGCTGGCCACAGGGTACAGACGGGTGGGTTTGGTCGAGTCACCCAACAGAGACTAATGACCATCTTGCTAAGACAACGAATGGCTGAGTTGCCAACGGAGATCAGCGCTAGCTCACTGGTCATTTAAGCAGAGAAACAACACTTTTTCCTGGCACATTCTGATATGGCAACTGAATTGCTTGGAAATGGAGCCAGCCAGTCTCACCCCCCTGGCCCCCCATGGCTGAGGGGGTGGGTTACTTCCCTATCTGCTGCCTCAGGCTTCACTCTTTCCCTTGCTCCCAAGGCACTGCTATTTGTGCAGCATCCTCACATTGAGATGCTATATAAATCCCAAATGCAACTTATTAAGGCAGTGCTAGGAAACAGCCCACAGTGGGGACTGGTGACAGTGTTGCATTCAAGGGACTCACCGCTGATTTCAAGCTCAGCCCACTGGGATTTTTTCCCGTTTGCCTGGTCGTCCGGAGACATTATTGTGTGCATCCTTCGTGGGTCTGGTGGCTCATATTTCTCCTTTGGCATCCCTGGCGGTCTGGAAGGAAGGATTAACACAAAAAAAGGCCTGTTCATGACGAATATAATACATGCCTACATACCTACAGTGCACAATACACCAAAGATGCATGCAAATACACTAAAGCTATAACAAGCAATCGTGTGGTCTATTAATCGGTGCTTCGACCACCAAATGAGGCTGGCCGAATGAGGAAAAGGAAAGAGTTTTATGGGACAATGACGGATTCAGAGAACATATAGTGATTCAGATCTTGGATCATGAAAGGCAATGGCAGAAAATCTTATAATTGTATTTTAATGACAGGGGTGCCACGGTGGCAAGATATGAACTGCCTTGCCTGGTATACAGGAGGTAGTGAGTTCGATCTCGACCCTGACGCCTGCATATTTGGAGTTTACATGTTCTCTGGGTGGACACGTTAATTTTTCTCTGGATCCTCCGGTCTTTCCCTCCACATTTAGAATCAAGCGTTTAGATTATTTGGCTGCTGTAAATTTCCACATCATAAGCCTCTTCGTTGAGCTATGATGTGTGGCCAAGTTGCCTGTGAAAAAGAGCTTATAGCTCAGTGGACTTTCCTTGGTAAAATAAAAAAATATCTAAAACATAAAAACATATAATATATAATGACAGAACAATGTCAACTAAATGCAATCTGATTGAATTTGATTGCAAGCTGTCAGTGCAGATGAGTGCTACCAAATTTGTCATCCCAGTTAGGCAATTCATTGGCTTTTCGACTATACTATTTTTATTTTACCAGGTAATGCCCACTGAGCTATTTAGCTCTTTTTCAGAAGAGAACTGGCTAGAATTGATAGCTCGACAGAGTGGCTTATCACGTGTAAATTTATAGCAGCCAAATACTCTGCTATTTAGACACAAGTGTTCATAATATTAGGCCCGTTGATATGAACGACATGCAATGAAGAATACATCCAAAAAGCAATCCAGCAAAGCTTCCCTTCTCTACCGCCCAACATTTTACATGCAAGTAGACATTCATGGTTGGCAAGGGAAGTGGCCTGGGATTTGCCTTACGTGAACTGGAGGTAAGAATGTGTTGTAGATGTGGCCTTGGGCTATACAACTTGTACCTTTCTCCACTTGGCCAGTTTTCTCACTCGAAGGACGTGTGAAATACTGCCACAGAGACCTGAGCGCTTCCACGGATTTATACCTTGAGTCTGTGGGGGGGGAGACATGATGCACGGAAAGGTTACATTAAGAAAAAGTGACAACACGCAGTGCCAGTCTATTTAAGTGCGAGTTTTAGCAATTCAGCAAGACATTAATAGTGCATCAACATTATTATAAGCATGCAAATTGGTGCCTAACCAAGGGGATGGAGCTCATTTACAAAAATATGTTATACGAGTTGTTTTTATAAGAGGGTTTTGCATATTTCATAATTATGATCAAGAATTTGAGGATAAATTCCCATTCATGGGTACTGAGTCAGCACCTATGGGAGACATGGGTCCCAAGTCTTTTTTGGGGAAAGACATTTTTTAAAGGCAAATCGCTATGGCCTTCCCAAGGGCAAAAAGGTCAATAATAGACATACCAGCAATGTCATTACAATAAAAATTATTCCGGAACAAACTTTTCTTTACCAATGACAACAGCAGCACACGGACATACACTGAAAAATACCAGGCATTGCCTTAAAATGTTTTTTGGGGTGCATTCCCGTGACACAAGCCTGAGGACATGACCTGAGAGAATGGAATAGAAGCCTAAGAGTGAATGGGATAAGATTGAGATGGGTGAGGGGCGCTCAAGGGTCAACGAGCAGGGGTCAGGGAAGGTACTGGAATAAGCCAGGATGGGAAATGCCTATCCATCAGTTGATGGGACCCGTGATATTAACCAGATAAGGCAGGATCAATAATGCTTTCCTGTCAGCTGTGCGACCATGAGCCCACTACATAAAATGCACTGCTCTTGCAGCACATATCCATATGCACATACCAACAATTCAGCTCCTAAACAAATTAGCATCAGCATCGCTTCGTTGATTAAAATGTATTGTAACTCTCCCAATACATGCATCAAACCATCCATGTAATAAATAAGGATTACTAATTCAGGCCCTGATCACCAGTGGATTGACATTATGACACTGCCCATATGAGCAGGAGCGAACACAAGGCCATTACGTCATACAAGGCTGTTTAGCTACATAAATGGACGTGCAATGCTTAAGTGTTACATCACTATAATCTGACACTGCCCAGTAAGAGCACGAGCAGCAATGGACCATGACATTACAATTACAGTGCTCTTCATCTCAATGGTGCCGCAATGCGAACATCACCACCTTCTGACCAACATGATCAAGGTCAACACCAGCCTGCCACCTACGTCTCAACTGGCAGAAGAGAAGAGCGTTTGATTTGACATTGAGACACCTCGTCACGATTTGCAAAGGGCACTTGCCAACACAATCGGCCTACCCAGCTCTCCAGCTATGCGTTTGGGTTCAATTAAACGCCGTCAGCCTGCTTCCCATACAGCCGCGCCACTGGAACTGTCCATTTCGTGGTAAACAACTGTATAACGTGCCACTCCAAACTGTGCAATATACCGTAGATCGCTTCACTGTAAACAAGCCCTGGGGACATGGCTGCCAAGAGAACAGAGAAAGAGAGGCAGATGCAGAGCACCTGAACTGAAAAAAAATGTGCAGAGAGGTAAGCGATGCACATGATAACATGTTTTACTCAGTGAAGAGCTAGAGTTGGGAAAATAGTGATGCATATAACTTGACAAATAGATTACCAAGAAAGACATCGGCAAAGACAGCTATATTGTTATTACCATATTAGTCCCAGGTGGTTCAGCGGCAGAGTAAGCAGCTGGCAATCAGGTTGGGAGTTCTATTTCTTGTTGTGGGTTGACTCAGTCCATCTGCCCTTATGCACACCACTGTTGCGGCAGGCAAGAATGGTTGTCCTGCGGATAGGCTCACCCCCATCATAGGTAGATGTAATTTCCACCACTGGTGCAGAACTGAAAAGTAGCGATGAGCATTGCCTCAGGCAATTTGAGCAGGAAATAAGTCTGACTCTTAACTCCACTAAACGGTCAAAGCTGATAGCATCGTAATGAATATTTCTATTGAATAAATCTAAACCAAAGGCCTGGACTAGGGTAAATTTTCATGGAACAGAAATATGCAAAAAAAAATGCGTTAATACGTCTCCATGAAAGAGAATGAAGAATGGCTAGATCACAACAAATTAGTTGACTTTATAGCACCACTGTGCTCGTATATGAATCTCCCACAGATTTACTGGCGTGCCAAGCCACTCGCAATAACCACTTCTTTGTTTACCTACAAAAATCTCATCAAGTCTCAAAGACCCGTTTGTCAGGAGAACCAAGCTTTGGAATGTTTGCCAAATTCTTTAATGTGTAATATTTTTGTTTTGTGTTGGAAGAAACCAGAGCATCCAGGAAAAAGCCAGGCACATGAGGTTTTCTTTCAAGCTCTGTGCAAATGAGACGAAAACCTACTTGCCGTACTGCCACATACAAGCACTTTCTATGTCAGTCGGTGGCATAATCCGTCAAAACCCTGTATCCAGGTGGCTCGTTTAAACGCATAAAAAAAACAATTTACGATATAATATTAACACAACCAATATTAGTTATTTATCTGTTTATCTCGTTCTTTATTTGTGATGAGATTCCTCACTTTTCTGAAGGAATTGTTTTTAGGAGTTTGTAAAAAATATTTGTTCTAAGCATCATCTCCAGTCTCAATCCTATATGGCTGATAATGTCGGAGTAGTCTGAGCTCAGCTGAGATTGGCTAGAGTTGGAGTGACACTGAAGAAAAATTTCATTTTCGGCCATTACATGCTTGTCATTTGAATTTGAATGGCAGGCAGGCAGGCAATCCACTGGATGGCTTCCTTGCTGTAGTATTTTCCGCAAGTCACTTACCACAACTAAAATAACATGTTCTTTATAAACACTGCTGCGCAGAACTGAAACAAGCTACTGGAATCAAAAGCAGCCGATGTGCATTCTAATTAACGAAGGTATTCACAAAGCTCATGTTGTGCGAGTGAACAAGTAATCTGGTGCTGATTGCACACCCACACACTCATGGGCTAGGTGTGTTCTCACAGCCGAGGTAAACACACCCACCATATGGCTGAAGCTCAGGGGATTAATGTCTGCATCAGCACCGAGCCTGTACTGATTCAACACCATAGGTGTGAATTTTGGAGATCACCTGTAATTAAACTAGTTTTCTAATACAGTGACTCAATGTTCTCAGAACCATCACAATAATGAAACAACTATTTAAAATGTGGTGCATTACTTAAGTCAGTGTAGCCCAGTCTAGCAATTAAAATAAAATGAGTTTATTCATAGCTTAAAATATAAGTTTATGCTCATGATAATGCATCAAATTAGGCACGGAAGACATTTTGTTATTATTTATGCAAGTTGCATGCAAATAGGACAGATGAGACAAAATGAGATCGTATACAAACTAAACAAAAAACATTCCATTCTTGAATAGGGAAGGGTTGTGGATCATTAAATGCCGGTAAAATGTGTAGAAACTTTACACTCTTTACACAGCGTAATCACGAGCAGTGGGTTTGTGCTGTAATCATCCAAGGTCATTCATGCCCACCCTGCTGCCGCTGAAATATTCTAGAAGTTTCCTGAGGGGCTTCGAGAAGGACATCTGACATGAACTTGATGGCACGATTTGGATATATTTTAAAAACCTAGAGTAAAAAGCCCAGTGACAATGTATGGAATTGCAAGACTAAGTTGGTATGCCAGACAGAACGTTTCACCACTTACTAGGTATGCCACAATAAATTGCTAAACACTCACGACGCTCAAGAAAAATCTATTGAATCACTCATTGAATCATGCATACCTGGTTTTGCAACAAACACAAGACAGAGGAGATAAAATGCCAACAGGATAGTAAAAAGAGGCAAATGTTTATTAATTATTATTTGATCATTTCGCCATCATGCCACGAGATGGTGAATCCATTCAGAAATCTCACAAGCAGCACACCCCAAATCTCATAAGAGCTGTGCAAGACTTTCTTCCCAGGACTTGTCCCAACTTTTTTTTGGAAGTAGCCAATTTTTTTTACACTTAAATCAAACTGAATTATAAATGTATTGAATTATGACGGTGAACATTTGCACAGGACTGCTGCTTAAAGTAGCACAATCCTGTGAAGCATTTAATACAGAAGCTCATCGATTATTCAGTGGTACCAAATTTTCAAAAACGCCGGATAATCACATAATTATTTAAAATAGCTTAGTTTTGCACATTCTTGTACAACATTATGTTTTTAGGTTTTTTCGTTTTTTAAAAGTGTTTACTATATGACATTGGCATAAACATACAAAAATAGACAAAAATAAATATCCTACTTTAAAAAGTTACACCAATCTCGAAGATTCTGCATGGGGTGATGTATATACATGCAGTATTTTCATTGTTTAAGTTGTATGTAGTGTATCATGTACTGAATAAAATATTTAACACTAATCAAAAATAGCTACTTTTTTGTTACGCACATGGCGCCGATCGCCAGACTGGTTACAGCCTTTTTGGAGCGGTTCTGCCGGATTGGCCCAGGACTGCCAGATAATGTTAGAAGCCGGATAATTGATGTCTACCATGTGAGAAATGGAAAATGATTGACAGAACCAAGCAACATGTTAACTTGTCAACATTTATGCTAGCCGAGAGCAGTTATATAAAGCTGGCCTACTTAAGAAACTTATAATCAACGTAAAATTAATGTGTGCAAACATAACATCGGATTGAAGTTACAAATACTTTATACATCACCTGTCAATTAAATGACATTATTAGTCATAAAACGCAAAAGCCCTACTTTATGTAACGTGGCTTTTTAATGTAAACAAGCCAAGCTCTGTGTTGGCTTCATGTGACTGATGTCTTTTGTTGAACCAGGTGAGGGCAATTGCCTCTGTACAAAGAAAATCATGAGGGCAGCAGCAACTATTTGGAATTATTTTACAACTGATTTTCTATGTGCTGATACATCGTATGGTCAATGGTGAATCCTGTTTTTTACAGTTATTAATAGGTCATGGTTAGCGGTATTAGTTAAAATAATGTCTTAATAAGGTACACATGCCAGAAATATAAAAAGCAC